GTATTGTTGACTCTAACTTGACTTTAATCTGATCACTCATAACTTCATCATGAAAAGTTAAAAAGCTCTTGCAATAAAAATAAAACCTCATCGTTATTTTCTCACTTCCACATGATACACGAGTTGTTTTAATCAATAGTTTATAATATTTTTTAAAGATGGAATATTTAGTTATCTTAGTTTTAGTAGGAAGATTTCAAAATTCAACAAAAAATAATTTTAAGAATGATGCGTTAAGCACAACTAATTCTTGCTCATTACACTGACTATTTTAATAGTTATTCTTGTGATGCTCAAACTCAACTTTATCTCTTTTGTGATTTTCTCGTTTTTTAGTATATATATCTCTTTATTTATTTATGTAAATTTTAGTATGTATCCTTTAATAATATTTTTTTTTCATGTTTTTCATCACATTTCTCTTTTGTTTTTATGCTTTTCTTGTTGCACGTTTCTGAAGTTCAGATTATTTGAAAATCATCTTGATGAAGTGCAATAATGTGAGGTGCACCTACAATTTCATAAGGCCTCATGGAATCATAGTACTTCGTTTGAAGAGCTTTGTCTTGTGTTTATGATCCTTTTCCATTTTGTTTTCTATTTTTACTTTTCTTCTTCGCCTTGTTTTCTTTTATTTTATCATGAGTGAAGAATTGATGCATTATTTCCCTTTACATAGTTATCTTTATCTTCATCCTAGTGATAACGTTGTCATTTCTCTTGCCTCGTGTTCTTGATTTTAACTATTATCATTAATGCAGTAGATATGTCATTAGTGTATTAAATGCCAAAAGTAAACTTAAGTTTATTGATGGGACAACTATAAAAGCAGCCAAAAATATTCTTCATATTAAGCATGTAAATGATTCAATAACATGGTAGTCTTGTAGTTAGTTCATTTATTTTCTTCACCCAATAGGCCAAGCATTTTTATGGATGTACAAAGCAAAGAAATGTATTTTAGGTGCATCTAAGTGTGTGAAATAAGTTATTAAAAAGCAATTCTAGTGGAGGAAAACAAGCCCGAACTCAAGGAAGCATGATTAAACAATAAAAAATAGATTTTATATAATGATGCTCGTTGGGCGAGTCTGTCACTCTAGAAACTTGAAAATGGGTATTTAATCAAGTTTTCGTGAGGGTTTTAGATTCTCTTCCCCCCACACTTCATTCTTCACCTAGAGCGATTAGGAAAGACCCTTAGAGACTCTTTGAGGGTGATGGGAAACTCTTTCTTCTCCTCCTTGGGTTTCAATCTTCATGAATGGGGATTTTGCTCCTTTTGGGTTGAGGATGAAGATGTGTCACGAATCGGAGGTGTTGGTGTGAAAGGGAAGCACAATTGGAGCATAGAATAACTACAAAGAACCTTGAGAAAGGATGTGCATCTCTCTTTGGTGTACCATGTCTTGCCTATCTCTCTAATTTTGTAGAACCCTAAGTCCTCCACCATGGAGGGTTATTCCTATTGGTTGAAATTAGTTGTAAAAGGTGGGATTCTTGAGTATTTTGTGCTTTTAATAATATATGTTTTTCCAATTCATGTTAGTACTGAGTTTCCTTGCTTAACAATTGTTGTGGCTTGATTTGTGGTTCTTGATGTATTAGAAAATATGACATGAATCTATAACTGAAATTGAATACTTAATGGATGGAATTAAGATGTCTTGATATACATGAGAATGAAATGGATGAATTCTAGCCTTAATAAATTTGTAAATACTCTATGTTACATTTCCTTGCATATCAACTGTTTGATAAAAGTACCAAAAAAGGAGTTTCTTGTGATTTTGTGCATTTTCATATCTAATTGAGTTATGAAAGGAAGATTTTTTATGTGTTTCATAAGTTCCTTGAAAGAGAACAATATAAATAATTATTACTTGTTATGTATACGCTTGCCATTGGTTTGATACATGTGCAACTCTTGTGTGATAACAATACGCTGCTCACGACAAAAATATCAGCAAACTAATGGAAGAGCAAAGTGAATGGCTCGCAACAATTTTTTAATCTATTATTCCGTGGATCAAGGATCTGAAATTTTGGAACAGAGTAGTAACGATTATTAGATGTTGGGGGATCCCAATAAACTTATGGGAAAGGAAGTGTTTGAAAAAGGTAGTAGGTCTACAAGAAACCAAAACAGAGATAATAAATGATGCAAAATGTTATGCTTGTGGGGTGATAATAATATAGAATGGGCTTATGCTACTGCAAAGAACCGTGCACGAGGAATTCTCTGTATGTGGCGCAAAAACCTATTCACATTAGAAAAGTATAGCAGAAGCAAAAGCTTTCTAATCATAAAGAGTAAGTGGGGAGAGCAAAAATGTCCAATAACTATTGTGAATGTTTACTCACTTTGTGTGTATAACGAAAAAAAAGGAAGATGTGGGAGGAAATAATTCAGAGTAGAAGAAATGATAACAATAAACTATGGTGTCTCCTAGTAAACAATATGTCCAAGATAAGACTGTATCATATCATTGCGCAATTGTTGTCAAAAACTTCCAAATAGACCGAGGACCAAAGCCATTCAGATCTTTAGATGTTTGGTAATAGAGACTTTAAGGAAACAATTAAGATGTTCTATAGGAGAGGCATGAGCTTGATGGAAGTGGTATGTTTACCATTAAAGAAAAGCTAAAAAATCTTATAGAGGATCTGAAAACCTAGAATAAAAATGTTTTTGGTGATTTAAATATTAAGAGAAAAATAACAACTATCAAATTTAATTTCAATAACCATAATAATAAGAACGTTTTGTTTATATGAGCATTTAGAAGGTGACAAAGTACAACTATTTTAATAGGTTCATACATATAATAAATAAAACATAAGTTTTTAAATGCATTCTTAAATTTATATAATATATTTAAAGTAATAATTTAAGATATAAATTAGTAGATGGTAATTTTTTATATATATTTATCATTACTTATATGTACTGTTGTAAATTTTAAATTTTATTTGTGTGTAATACTTATATTTCTCATAGCAAAATAAAAATTGAGAATAATTTTTTGTTAACGGTAGTTAACAAAGTAAAATCATGTGGGTCATATATACCATGAGAGAAAATTACATGTAATAGGTTTAGTTAATCTTTTTGTCTACTAGTGTGGTAACTTTTTCTTTTATTCCCTATACCAGAATATTTCTAGATTAGGTCTTTATATAAGCAAACTTTTAGTTTTTGTTGTTTTTTTCCTTTCAATGTAAGCTTCCCACTAAAATAGGCGACTAAGAATTAAAACATAAATTAGTTAATTTTGTAAGGTTTAAAACATAGAATCTTTAGATTTAGGGGAAAAAATAAATAAAAAGGTGGATACAAATTAGGAATGCCAAACGCGTTTATTTAATCTAACTCATTAAAAAATGGATTAGATTGAAGTTGTTTGTTTATAAGGTTGAAAATCTTAACCTAATCCGTAGTGAAATTAGGTTGAGTAACTCCCAATATTATAAAAATTTATATTGAAAACGACAACTCGTGAATGAATCATCCAAATAAACAAGAATACAAAAAATAAAAGTTGTACAGATATATTTATCTATAATAAATAAAATACAAATAAATTCTGTCTGTAGTAAAATGAACTGTTTAAGTATTTTAATTTTAAATTTATAAAAAAATACACTCTTATTTGTACATAGATCAACTCAATTTACTATGTTATTAAAAAATTCAAATCAACTAAAGATAAAATTAATTTATAATATATTATTAACTATAAATCTTATCTTAGAGATTGGATTTTACTTAAAGTAATTTATCTATTGAGTTGTTGTCTAAATTCTTGTACCGTTTCATAGTTACACTGTTTACCTTTAGTCTAGATAAATTATCCTATTACACTTTTTTGCCTATTCCTCCTATCTGTATTTTTTTTTTGTATAAAAATTATTTACAATATCTTTTTTGCAAGAAAAATTATTTACAAATTAATGCACAACAATATTTCTTCAAGAAATTAGATTTACCTATAGTTATTTTTCAAAATTATTTATCGATGCACAACAACATTTGCGTATTATCTGGTATGAACCATATTACGGTGACAGGAGCTAAGTAGCCTGAAACTCTATACAAAGCTGAAAGTGCTTGATTTTTTGTTACAATAACTTCACCTAGGAGTTAGAAAAAGGGCAGAAAGAACAATGAAGATCACTAATGTAGAATAACCCTTCTGAAAAAAAACAGAGAATATGAAGGACATGGGCCTATAACTTTGTGAGGAATCTGCATATCATCCTAGCATACATAGCCTAGAAAACAATGAGGCAAAACCTATCTGCATTTGGATTGATGAAATGAATGAATATTATATTTCTCAGTTTGTTCTTAATGAATCTGTTATAAGAAGATGGAGAGATAATAGTCAACCATTATTATTAACTTGTGAAAATTAATTAGTTGGTACAATGTTCGTTGGCATGGTTCACGAAGTTGCTTACACCTTGCGATAAAGGGATACTTGGCAAGTACTTTAGCGGATTCTTCTTGTTTTACAGTTTTTGGTATTGACAACTACCTCGCATTAATTGGCCATTTATTCTTTATTGGATGCTCTTTTGTCTAGGAAGGTATACTAATACTAGCCTTCATATTAGGACCAATCTCACTAATAATAACACTCTCATGCATTTTCCAAGTCCTTTGCATGCATGTGTACCATCTTAAATGCTGCTACACTGGTGGTGGTAGCAATGAGTTTCACTATCTCTCAAGTACTACCAGATAGGAGAGAATGAAAACAAGAAAAAGAGAAAAGAAGAGACATAGTTTTATTTTACTTTTTTTTTATATAGAACTTGAACTCGTACTAGAATATTGATGTTTGAAAACAAGTATTTCTTTAACATATAAGGTGAGTGAGCACATGGAGGAGATAGGGAGATACTTATCTTATCTGGTTAACGTTTTGAAAAGTATATTAGGGATGAAACAGTAGAGAAGCACATGGGAAATGAATTGAAGGGCACTCAAAACATCCACACCAACTCCAAAATATATTGGGGTATATAATTTATATGAGGCAAGCCAAAAAGTTAGAGAATACAGTAAAGATAACAACCCCATAAACAAAGCAAGAGAAGAAAAAGGGAGGGGAGGGTGGTCCTACAATCCCCTCTTACAAGTATCACACACACACAGGCTGTTAAAGGGAACCAAATAATGCAAAGTCTGATGGGTCACATGGTCTAGAAAGCAAACTGACACCACACATGCCCTTGCCTCCCAATTGCACATGCACATGGTCACTGTTCCCTAAGCCTCCTCCCTAAACCCTTTTTTCTTCTCTCTTATAATCACTTTTTTTTTTCATTAATCATGCAAATGAAAGCACACCCAAACTGTCATCAAAAGTTCTCACAACATCTCACAAATCAGAAAACCTTTTTGTCCTATCTAATATTATACACAACATTAACCGAAAAGTAACTATTGTTAGCCACATTATTATATATGCACCATCTTCAGCATACATAATAACTCTTAATTTATGTCTTGAGCTCTTCAGGGTCAATCTCTTTTTCCTTATTTCTGAGTTCAAATTGGCTTTATTGGGAGGACTCTATGGTACAATGAGGGCGAGCTGCCAATAGGGTGCACTGCAAGTGCCTGTGGCATGTGATTAAGTGGTCATTTGTTAGGCCAGCTGCCTGCATGAATGAATGAACCACTGTTGGACCAACGAACCTGAACCCCCTCCTCACCATGTCTTTGCTTATGCTCTCTGATTTTGAGGTTTTCACTGGGATCTTATGCCCAAACTTGTATTGAGTGGAGATGGGTTTATGATTCACAAATCCCCAAATGTACTTGTCAAATGATCCAAAGTCTTTCTTAATCTGCAACACCCAATTTCAAAAACCAAACATTAGCTGATAGTTAACCATAGATAATTAATGCAACTTTGATATTATTACCAGCTAAATGAACAGTAAACAGTAATTGTTAGCCAGTGTTAACTAACAGCATCTAAAACTTCGTAATTTATGAAAATATTGAATCAACTGGGTGGGGTCACTATTAAAACTTGTAATCTATTGGAAATTTCTTGTCATTAGGTACATTAAAGATATAATAATAAGATGTAGCTGGAGAAGCCTCCTTACCGTTAATGCTCTTTTAACTATTCTGTTGTTTCATAATAGAATATTCAGTTAAGCCAGCTCAAACTATAATTTTGGGGGACATGAGAAGAAAAGAAGAGAGACTAAGTTGAAAAGAGTGATGAAAAGGTTACGGCTTTTGAGTTTGTTTACCTCTAAAATTTGGTTAGCATTATCAACAACTCCTCGGACTCTGCTCATGTCAATGCCATATTCAGAACTAATTGACATCATTTGCTTATCAGTTAAGTTGGTCACAGTTTCCGCGTCAAATTCTGAAAATGCAGCTCTGTACATAATTTAAAAATATTAGTTTCCTCCACCCGAAAAAAGTTCATAGAATTATGAATATGAATGCTTTAAACGGAATTCAACCTGAAATCTTGGCGTTTCTTCAAGGTTGAGGTCCAATCAGATCCAACTTGAGCACCGCTTAAGACTAAAAGCTCAAATAACATCCTGGATGGATAATAGTGATTTTGTCAGTCATCATTGTCAGTTTCTGCATATTTCTGTTAAGTGTCACACTGCGATGTGTTTGAGACAGAAAAAGAAAGAAGTGGTGGCTTACTTGTCATCATGAACTGGAACTCCCCATTCCTCGTCGTGATAAGCAATATAGATGGGATCTATTTATCAAAAGCAACGTTGAGATTCAGCAACACATTTTGCTTTTTGCTTTTTAAGGTAAAGCACATTCATTCAACTAAGATTAGAGTTTTTTCCAGTAACTGTTGTTAATATTTGAAATAACTTTGTTCTATGTATAAAAAAATCCAATTCTAATCAAGAACAATATTAAAAATACGCAATTGAAATATTCACTGCGAATTACCAGAATTGGCTGTGATAAAGCTGCATCTCTTCTCCTCCTCAGTTGGCTTTGGTGTAAGAGCAGTGGTTGAATGATCAAGAGGAAAAACTCTTTCAAACTTAGCAGACTTTGATCTTCCATAATGGGCAATCTTCATTTTCCTCTGCGCCTGCTGCAGTGCCATCTGTTCTCTCCTCACAGCAGCTATGCTCCCTGGGGAGTCAGTGATCAAAGAGGAGGAGTAGCTGAAGGAAGCCTCTACAGAGGCTGGCGCACAGGACCCTTCCTTGAAGCTCTTGGACTTCTTTCTCTCCAAAGTTGGAGCTTTTGAGGAGCTTTTTGGGATGGCAATCTTTTCATAGCTAGTGTTGAGTCCATTGTTGTCACTGCCTCTCTTCACTGCAGGAAGCCTTGGGGACTTAGACTTCGGAGAAACTGGGGGTGTCAATGAGGTCTTGCTAGGAAGAGGTGGTGAGGGTGGAGAAAGTGACTTTGGTGGCTGCACTTTCTTGATGGAATTCCTCCTTTCAAGGTTTGGAACACGGTTGCAAGTGGGTTGAAGGACCGGCCTTCCATTGATTCTAGCCACTGAAGAAGGCATGACAGTGGTGGTTGCAGCAGCAGCAGCAGCAGCTGCAGCAACACCCTCTATGCCAACAGTAACTTTGGCCTTAGAACTACACATGTTGGTGCCTTTAGTTATGATATGAGTTGAGATTGAAAAGGGTGAAGAAAGAAAGGAAGAGGAAGAGAGGAAATGAAATGAAGGGTGTGATGAGGAAGTGAATTAGGAGAAAGGAAGAGAGGGTTATGGGGTTTTATAAAATGTGGGGAAGGTAAGGACAGGTTGAGGAGAAGTTGTAACATGGGGAGGTGGGGATCTGCCATACAACCTCTTGTGAGGGGCATTACTTTTTTGCAAACTAAACCACGAGGATGACTGTGACACGCGCTTCTAACTTTTGCCACTTGGCAATCTCTCTAAATTAATACTTCTTCATACTCATATGCTGCTTCCATAAGGGATAAAACTAAGTTTACACTATGTACAAACCTTATGAATCAGTTAAACTTGTCAACCACTGCATCAAAATTTATAACTTATATAAGGTTTTAATTGGGAGAGAATCAAGGAAGCTTGTTGGAGGATTCGTTGGGTGGGATATTGTGCTGTGCTTGAATCATATAATGTATGTATCAACCATGTTAAAAATTTCCTACAGTGAAACTTTACTGCCCTCTGCAGTGTTGTATGTATGCAGTATATGTGTGACTTCCTGTGGGACTTTTATCGGTGTTGGAGTGATGCATAAGAAAGATCAAAATGCAAGGAAAAAGAGCAATCATTGGGCCCATTCCTTTTATCTGTATGGAATCTGTCTTTTATTTATTTATTATTTTTTTTTTATGTTTATCTTCTTGTGTGTGTGAGAATGTGAGTTCAAACGGATTGGTAGAAAAAGTACATACGTGATATCCGTTGAGGCAACATTAGAAAGTGAGCATTGAGAGCGGAGAAAGATTGTTGTTAGATTGAATTAAATGGTGGTGTTCTAGCACAAATATGATATATTGAGGCCATGTGTGAAACTCTTTTGTTAGACTTTTGTTACGACACTCAAACTGAGATCGTTTTTCTGGTTTTTTGTTCTTATATTCCTGGACACCTTCTGATTAAAGGATTTTTTTAGGGTAAATTTAGTCTCATTTGCTTTTCACCAGAGTCGGATATTAGTGATTATTTAAAGAGAGAATTTTCTTTTCATGTGCTACAAAACATACTTGAAATAAATCCCCTAAAGGCACGTATGAGTTAATTACTAGTTTCAATTTTATAATACCCTAAAAAAAACTATGTAATGTTCCACTAGAAACTATTTCAATTATAAATCGTTACTTAGATTTACAAAAAATAATTAACAATAATGGATAAGGGTAAAAACTCTTCTGTTTTTTTATCACCTAATATTTTAATCTATGCATTTTAGACCATAATTAGTGAAGAGAATATATATTACGACATAGACGTTAATTTTTTTATTAATATAAATATTAATATTTAATATACAAATCAAACAATATTATATATGTGATTCTAAATTTGTGATCACAAATTCATACAAGCATCCTCAAGAACCATTTTTATACAACATGATTCATGTAAACAAAATCAACTAATATACAAATTAATGTTCATTTTATATTCATAATAAATATTTAAATCTAATTCATTAAAATTATAAGAAGAAAAAAGAAAGAAAAATACATTTTAGTACTATTAAGCTAAAATAGAACTAGACTTGAATTTCTATTTTATTTTCATTTAAATGAAAATTCACTGCTTGAGAAAAAAAAATCATAAAATCAATCACATACCAGAAAATCAAATCAATTTCAAATATTTTATTCAAAGTTACTTTAAGATATATAAGCATTTCAAACAAGTCAAAATTATTAATAATAATTTGCTCAAACATTATCCTCCACTCATGTCAATTCAATATTAATCACTTAAACTCATTATATAAATTTTCATTAACATCAAGCTTATAAACTAATATTGAATATTTTGCTTCAAAATAACTATAGTAAGGACCTATATTCTTTAATATTTAATTAGGTTTATAAATATATATAGTTTATTATTGTTATTTATTTATTTTTTTGAGTGAATTGCTTTTAGTTAAAAAAATGAAAGATTAAATACATATTTTAAAAAATAATTATTCAAGAAAATATAGATATTTTCATAGGAGATATAAAGCTCAGAGGTGGACAATTTTATCATACTAATGTCAATTAAAAACAATTTAAATTAGTATGACTACTCTTCAATGATAACTAGGAAGAATAAAAGTAAAACTGTAATTTTCTTATTAATTAAGAGGGAGGGCTTAATAGAGTACATGCACATATTAATTCTTTTAGATAAATAATTTTAAAAATTGACAGAAGAATTGGAAGAGAAATTGAGGATTTATGAAGTTTTGATAAAGAAAGAAGAAGTACGAAATTATAGTTCAATTACCGGAAGTAAGGTAACGAAAGTGTATTTTATGAAGTTTCTTAAGATTGTAAGAGAAGTTTGTGTGTTATGTAGTTTATTATTATTTTTAATTGTTTTATATTATTGTTTGAATTAGAGAGAAAGATTTGAGAATGCTTGTGAAATTAGTCTTTTGTTATGTATTTTAAGATTAATACAAATAAAAAGGAGAGGTAGGTTTATTGTGATTTATAAAGGCCAATATTTAAAGACGTGCTAATCATATAAACCATATATAAAGATTTAAAAGTTAATAATTAATGATTATATATACACATTAATATTTGAATGAAATGCCACATAATAGTTTATATATATTTCTGGTTTTGTTTCTTAAAATAAGCATGCATTCTTTTAGCAGAACAACTTTCTTTGTATTGCACATAAAGACATGTGATGTGGAAATAAGAGAATCTGAAACATCAATTTTACACTCCTTTCATTTTTGCTTGTCACTTTTCAGCTCAATAATTGGAATTTGGAAGAAAGCTCTAATTCAATTTTTTCCACATTATCTTTTTACACCAAAACATTAAGCGATTTTCACTCGACAACTAAGTGCTGTATTGACATTAAAGTCAAGGTTTGGTATTAGTCACTCTTTCGTGGACAAAATCAAAACATCAATTTATTTTCTTCCTTTTTCTAGTATGGTAGCGGAAACGTGGAGACATCATATTTTCGCGCTAAAAGGTATAGGAATCAACTCAATTTAATACAAATTAATAACTTCAACAGATTTTATTTAGAACAAATTCTTATGAGTAACTGAAATTTAAGTTTAAGATAAACTCCTATTTATATATTAAAAAATTAATTTTATTAACATAAAAACAAGTAATAAGAGATGATGTTCGAATAATTTTGATTATTAAAATGTTTATTTATATTTTCATATATATAAAATTTTTTAATTAAATAAGTTTTAGGTCTTAATATATTATATATTTCTGTTTGGAGCACTTAATAAATTATTTTTTCTAAGTTAAGTATTTAATAAACTATAAAATTTTGGTTAAAAGAATTGTATTTTGTCTTAAATATTGTATTGTCTCCTTTATTATCTCTGAAATATTTTAAAATTTCTCTTTTGGTCTATCAAATTATTTTATAACATAGTAAAGAACGTGTATTATTAGAATAGATAATCAAAATGACTTATGCATTTAATTTACTAATAGTATAGGTTATGCGACATATATTTTAATTTAACTAGCATGTCAACAAACAATTCAAATTACAGATAAACTCTATGAAAAGCTTTTGAAGGAGTTTAAAATTATTTTCGCAATTTAATACTAGACGCTATTTCCAGGAATTAGACGATCTCCAAATAATGTTAAATACTTAAGGATTTTTAGAAGTTTTTAGGAAGCTTTTAAAAATATAATAAGGAACAAGACTTGCTTTTATACTGGTTCATTAACTCTTAAATGATTTTACTTATCTTTAAAAAAAATTATAACTACCTGTGACATATTTTTAACATTGTTAGAACAAATAAAAAAAAGACTTAATTAAATTAAAATTTCAAAAAGTGAAACTTAATTGAAAAAAAAAGATGTACTTTTATTTTTTTTAATTAAAAGAGTATTTTAACCTATTGTTTGATATTCATATTATGATAAGAAGAGTGATTTAAGTGGCCAGTGTCATTATCATAATTGGCCAATTACATGGACTAGACTTAAATGCTTTATAAGTTTAGTTCAGCTTGGTAACCAGTTTGGCTTTGATCCCTAACTTTACAATCTCAAATCTCAAATTTGGGTGCTTAAGATTTGATAAAGAAGTAACATAATTTAGCCATAATACATATGAAGATTTGATTTGATACATTCCATGTTGTCAAAATAAGGCTTTCATGTACGACTCCAAACAATATGATTCCCTTCTTAAAACCTTGCAAATTTTGTTAGGCTATGTAGGTGCTAATTTGTCATCTACTTGTAGAGGTTTGGAGTACAACCTCTTGTCTATTTTATTGTCCTTCTTGTTGCTTGCATTTCTAAAAGTGGTTCAAGATTCACCTCCTTCACTATATATACTAAAATGTGCAGTCAAGAAATATGAAGACTTTAGGCTAGAATATTTAGTGTTTCATCTGTTTTTTCTTTTCATTATCATAACCTAATGCTTAACCTAATATTTGGTTCTTTCTTCTAATACCTATAATATCTTATTTATTGTTTTGATTCATTATATTTATTATTAGAGATTCTCCTTACTTCTTTAATAGTATGATGATTTCATATGTTTTGGTTAAGAAGAGTGATTTATGTGCCTTAATGACATTATTAGGTTTGAACTATTATATGATTGATTAAATGTTCTATAAGTCTAGTTTTTTCTTTATGTATATCAAAACTGAATATATTTATTGTTTAATACTTAAGAACTTATTTATAATTGAATATATTTTTCAAACTTAATCTTATTATCAACCCGAAAACCTGTTGATACACATCAGTATATGAGAGAGTAAGTAATGACTTTATACTCAATTGTTAGGGTTTAACTTATTTTCTAATGGAACTCTCCAAAAGTGGAAATCATTGGCATGTGTTAGAATCCTGCAAGGTGAAACAAGACGCTTAACCAAACTAGGTTTTGATTAATCAACCACTAATGACAAATAGTGGTAGGAACAGATACGTGCCCATGTTCTATTCCTGGTTTTCCAATTTCATAGAAGTGATCGACATAAGTTTGAATGGGTCCGATAAATTGATTAATTTCAATTAGGCTGGAAAGACAAGTTCATGTTCATTAAGATTATCGGTTTTCGAGTTTTAAAATTACAATTCAATATCATCAGTTTTGGATTTAAATATATAAAGTCAAACCCAAAAGGATTCATGTTATTAAATGATTGAATGACTAGATATTAACCAATCCGAATGTGATTGAATTAACTTTGCTCGGTTTTCACTTTTTTTAAACAATTTGTTA